ATTTTAATATCAATTGGCAAATTTTGAAACGCGCTATTTCGTATACGGGAGGATCAAAACGATGTAATTTATGTTTAGAGGAAAAATTTTGTATTTTGAAAGAAAACCAAAACCGTTTACTCAATAAAAGAATGGAAATTATATCTACGTGCAAACATAGGAAGAAATTTCGCGTAAACAACGCAAACAATACACTCCCACAATTCGATTAGGCATTTCCGCGTAAACAACGCAAACAATAGATGAATGCATGCTTTGTTTCACCCACACACCCCCACGTTCCGGCCAAAACACATATAAGCAGTCCTATTTTTCGAAACTTGTCATACCGCCTGATGATTCTTTACTGATGAAACAGACTGTTGCGGAATTTTGAGGTAAGCGAAATTCTACATTTGCTCTATCTTTATGATATTGAGCACTCTTTGCGTTTCGTATTCATAAACCTACTCGTATATATATATATATATATATATAGATATATATATATATAGATATATATATATATATATATATATATATATATATATATATATATATATATATATATATATATATATATATATATATATATATATATATATACTGGTTCTGCAAGTGTTATGTTATGTTGTGTTATTGTTCACTCCGTAATATGATAAGTAGAATCGAAATTGTTATCGAGTGTGTATTTCATAATTTCCATACCCAGCGCAAGCGGAAAGATAAAGTCTGCCGCGGCTGGGTCTTGAACCCGCGACCTTCGAATTACTAGATCGACGCACTACCAACTGAGCTACACGGTCGGACGGATTTAAGACTGGAAATTATACATATATATATATATATATATATATATATATATATATATATATATATATATATATATATATATATATATATATATATATATATATATATATATACCCGTATAGAAACCTAAACCATCTTCCCAAACCCTATACTTAACCCTATCCTAATATTTATGCCATACAATACCAGATACCATGCCATACTACACGAAGTACCTGAACTACTGCTCACTCTTCTAGACGTTTCAGTGCCTATCATGTTTGTCCGTACAGGCTCTGACCACGAGCTTGAGTAATAGGTATCCTATATAAAACAGTAAAAGAAATTCTTAACGGCAGGTTGTGCACTGTCATCGGAGTCACGACCATGCAGCTAGGTTCGCCAGCTAATTTACTGAAATTGCCCGTGCCATTACCATGAAGACGTATATAAGACATTTCCAGGATTTGCTTGGTACCCATGAGACTGGTACGAAGCTCTCGATATTTCAATAACTTAAAATAGGATTATCAGCCTTGATTTCAAACAATCGTTTCGTGTGCACTCAAATAATTAATAACTTACCTCATCTATAAACGTTCTCTGAAAAGCGGAATAATTTGAATTCGGCTTTAGAGGTCGGTTATAAAACAACGATGCTTTTGCAGAGTCATCACTCCTTCTGTCTCTGGTAACTTGTTTCCCTCTTTCATCATATGCTATCCTGAACCATTCGGCCTCTCGTCGCTTTCTGGGAGTTTGACCATAGTTCAAGCCATCGCCAATAACAAAGGTCTTTAGTTCATATGCTTGGTGAACAGTGAGTTGTGCAGTGACGTATGGTACTAAGGTTGGAACTGATTCATTGACTGTTGAGATTTTGTCTGATGTGAATGAATATGGCGGATCGGCCGGGAGTGCGCTGCTGTTTAGTCTGATTACAATTATCTGAATATATCTAATGATAAAGATAAAGACAATTAGAGACCTTAAAATTCAGTTTAAATCAAATTGCTAACTGTAAACGGCAAACTCGTCATGAATAAACGGAAGATTGCTGTAGCGAGCATTTATTAAAACTAGAGTAGCGAGCAAAGACACATCTAACTTGTAGTAATTAAAATATACCTGTATCCGTTTTGTGGTCGTTGATGTTGTACACCGAAAGAATAAGCTGTTGTATTAACCTCCTCAGATTTAAGTAACTTACCTAAAGAAAGAAATTAACTAATATCGAAATATTTTAGCAATAGACGACATGCCTGATACCGATGCCCGCTATGCATGAGGGTATAGGAGTCGTCATCGCACAGCGAAATGAATACAACAGGAACGCTATCTCCAACCGGAAGTTTGAAGCCACCAAAGTTGATTTTTTAATAATTAATTTGAATTGAAAACATTTTTCTACGATAAAAATAGACATCGTTTACTCTTTAGCATACTAGCTTTAGATTATTTCATTTAAAATCAACATCTGAAGCCACTGTCAACAATTTGATTTGTGGATAAGACATTGGCTTAATAAAAACAAGTTATTTTAATCAGTACCTGTAACAAGTTCACTGTAGCTGCACATAAAAATAAGCTGATGTATTGTTCAAGTATTAGTAGCCCGTCCCAGGACATACAGTATAGAGTTTATCTAATGAATGGGTTATATTATATTTATCGGCATTGTCAAATATGTCGATGAAATTCCTTTTTTAATTTATGCACGATTCTTCTCCAGTGGTGTAGCCAAAGGGGGAGGGACACTTCAAAACCGTTCTGATGAAAGTTCAAATCCGACCAGATATGGGGGGGGGGAGGGACAGGTCAGGTAAGCAATTAGTCAAATCCAATTAATAGTAATTAATTCTATAAATCCTTGTACAAACAATGTCAAACATTATTAAATATTGCTCCCAGAAAAATGGATTTAGTTTAAATTTTGTTAGAAATTGTGTGACGATGACAATAGGTGAATAATGTTATGAAATGCTTCAGTTGATAATGATATAATCAATAAATCTAAATATATTTTCATGTGTATTGTGCTTTTTTCCAATTTAATAATAACAGAATTCTGTAATTTATAACCATCCAATTACTCTTAAAAACTCGTATCAGAAATGGAAATGGAGTTTCTGAGCCCCAGAAATCCAAAATATTTGCCCCCCCCCCCCAAATCGACTCTGACTACACCACTGTTCTTTTTCTAGTTGAGACATAGTAAATCTTGCGCTATCACCATCTATTTCAGAGGAGTACCATGGACCCAATAAAAGCTAATCAGTTTCTTGTAGACGCAAACTGGGAGCTCAGGTGCATGTGGGGCAAAATAATGATAAGAAAGTCATGTCCTGCATGTTGCAACAAGAAACGTCGGTCACAGAGGTGAAAAGAGCATGTAAATCACTAGGCAACAAAAATCAACACTTTTAACAGGTTAGTTAAGGTGGTCTTCCACCCAAATTTTCCAATATTCGTTATTTTTTAGAAAAACGTAAAAATGTTGTCTTGATAGCATTCTTTATAAAATCCGTGTAATTTTAAGAACGAAAATGTACCGTAAACTACAGAAATCCAGCAAATTCTACACCTTCGTAGGGTAAAACCACGATTTTACCCGGAGCGATAAAGATATGCGATTGGTTTAGCCTATTGTTCCATTTTCAACTATATTGTTCTATCTAAGTTATTCTAATATATGCAAAAACTTTAAAATCGCTTTTCTCACATGAGCATTTTGCGAAATACTAAAAACTCTCCTACTGTTCATATACTGAATCAATTCGTTCGAAATTTTCAGAGTTTCTTTGCTTGTTACATAGCCATGTCATGGACCTAAAAAACTTCATATATCAGCAATATACATTGCAAAAGTAGCCTTATAAGAACTCCTTTCTTCATATAATTTTAAAAAAGTAAAATATGAAGGCTTTAATTTATTATATTACTTGTATATTTTTTTAGGTTCATGACATAGATCGATGTATTAAGTGTCCATTAAAGCTGTTTCTAAAATTCTCGGTAAATTAGTTTGGCTCACATCATTTTTGGAGCAAACCCTATATTTTACCCAATAGCGAGGCCTATCTTAGTTACTATGGCAACGACGAATGTAAAAGTTACTGATCCTGCGTCAGCTGAGGATATTCCATCATATTTGACTCAAATATGATGATAAAACCTTTAAATTGAAAAAAATGTTTTTAGGTAGTCCACACTTGGTTGTCCCCCTTAACCTCGTGCACCTGCAAGGACTGACTATTGACTTGTACCCAGTGCGACATGTACGCAACGCGTACCTATTTTTATAGTATAAAATAAGAAGGTAGTTCACTTATGTAGGGCATTGACAAACAACAGCCAGGATGTAGTAAATTCCCTTAGTAAAAGCATTTCACTTGCAAAAAGTGTTTAAAAATCAACAGAACCTTTCCACTGAAAAATCCCCAGGCTATTAAAAGCACGTTGTTGCCGGAGGCTCGCTCTTGTTGCAAACTGTACTGGGCAGAAGTGCCATAGGCGAACCTGATAAGGAACAAAATATAAGATCTCACCTGAGCTAGTGATTATCCTATGTTTTTTGGTATAAGGACCGGCCCCAGCGATGGTTTTCGCTCGAATTCTGAAGTAGTACACAGTTGCAGGCAGTAATTCTTCTAATGTCATAGATTCTTTTTCTGATTCACGATATGAATTATTTCTGTTACTATTGCAATTGCTTAGCAACTTTTCGGTAGAGTGACACAACTGATATGAGGTAATGATTCCATTTCTTCGGTGGGGAACTGGAGCAGACCAAGAAATTGTTACACTTGTAGAATTCATGGGGTTCATGAGTATTTTTCTTGGTGGCCCACTAGGTGTTAAAGTTAAAACCAGAATAAAGCAATTATTACGAAGTGCTGAGATGTGGTGTTTTCGCACCGTAATTAAATAGTTTTCACAGTGAGTTTCGTGAAAACAGATTAACTAATGGGAAAATGCGTTTATATATATATATATATATATATATATATATATATATATATATATATATATATATATATATATATATATATATATATATATATATATATATATATATATATATATATAGTGAAATATTGCTGATAACAAGATACAAGTGTTGTATATAGAAAAGGTTTCAATGTGCAACCAAAAGAGACATTTATAACGTAAAATAAAATAAAAGCCACTCAAATTTTGCACAAACGTTTTCGCTTTAATGTTAGCTCCTCAGGTGCATATTTACAAT